CTGTTTTAGGCTCTTGACTTTTGCATTGTGATTTAATACACGTGACAGTCCTGTGAATAGGGCTTTAAGGAGCTTTGGCCCGTCTCACCAAGTGATGAGCTGCCTTGTGCGACCTCACCCTGGTCTTTCCCTGACTCTTCACAGCATCGATGCCTCTCCTAGGGTCTTTGTGGTGGAATTGGAGCAAGATGAACAATCCCTTCTCTTTGGAGAGAACTCAGTACTCTTTTTAAAATTTTTCAATTACAGTTTACTTTCAGTGTCATTTTGTGTTGGTTTTAGGTGTATAGCATAGTGGTTAGATAATTATATATATGATTTTACTGGTATATAGAATCTAAAGAATGAAATAAACAAAATTGAAACAGACTCATAGATACAGGGAGCAAACCAGTGGTTGCCAGAGGGGAGCAGGGTTTGGAGGGTTGGGCGTAAAAGGTGAAGGGATTGAAGAGTGCAAAACGATAGTTACAGGATAGTCACGGCGATGTGAAGAATCACGGGAAAGTTGCTTCATGTGATCCTCAGAGTCAAAGCAACAGGACAAAGAAGCCTCCGTAGATGAGAGGCGATAGGGGAAGCCCTCAAGTCTTACCTGGGGCTGCATACAGGGAAAGCTGAGGGCTGGACTTGCCCCAGGTGGGGAGTGCTCAGCAGAAGTGGAGGAAAGTGTATTAGGTACTGAATGCAGCCAGCAATGTGATGAGGAGAGGCTGAGAGATCAGGTGGCCCTGGGGGTCAGAGAAGGGGCAGTAGCAGAGCACAGCTGGTCTGGTACTCAGCATTTAATGGTCAGGCCCAAGTCAAATAGGTGCATTCGTGATCTGCCCTGATGGGAACTCAATATTTATGGAACTAAAGCCTGTGGGGACAGTTCACATCAGCTTTTGGTCACTCACCCTGAGAGATCGTTACCTATCTTCAGGGATAAATGAGATCAGACAGAACCTTATACCTTTGTCCAGGGGGTTCTGGGATTTATTGACTCACTTCAGTGAGACAGAGGACATTGATCAAAGTTCTCTTAGCCTCTTTGACATGAAACTGATTAAGTTTTATGGCAGCATGTACGTGAAGACAATTGTACGCTATAATGGGGCAGGGAGAGGTTTGGAAATTGAAGACTTTTAGAAATGGAATTCTGGGATGAGACTGACTTAGGCCAGCTCTTCCTTTTGGTTCAACATTTTTAATAGAATAATAAATACCTGCCTTATCAGTCTTATGGACTTATTGGAGATCGGTTCATAGGTATAAGTATATACACCCTGTAAACAGTAAAGTATTTGTATGTGTTATACTTACTATTGAACAAATGCCCAGTTTTTTATTTTATAAAACATGCAGATGGTTACAACTTTTTTAGGTATGTGTCGTATTCTATGATGAGTGATAATAGCAAGTTTCAGTGCTGTCTCCATTGTGGCTTTTGTTCCAGTGTGTTTGCTCTTCAAACTGAAGAGTGAGGAAAAAATAAAGATGAAAAATAGGCCTTGATATTTCTAAATGGAACTTCTCAAAATGTCTTAGGTGAACATGGTTAATGCCAGAATGTTGGAATTGAATACAGATACAGCAGTGTGTTAAATTTTAAAACAAGCTACTAACCAGTTTAAGACTTATTTCTCATTATTAATATCTAATTAGTAACATTCATCATCATAGTCTTTCCTAAAATATTTCTGTAGGAGCGTTGGCCTGAAAACCTATGCAGGTGACTTGAAGGATTTGTGTCTGCCTTATCTAAAGAAATCAGTCACGGAGGAGGGTTTATTTTTCTTGAGGCAGGTAAATATGATACGATAGATGGTAACTTAAAGAATAAAGAGTAGGGAGGGTTTCTCCAGACTGATTTACATATTAATTACTTAAATTACTCCTTAATTTAGTGCCTGCTAATAAACTGTGCCTTGGAAATGTTTCCAGAACATTTATTGGTGGCAGTAATTCTACCACAGTGTATGCAGATCACAGTCCCATTAAATATTGATGAGCTCATGAAATGTTAATAGGATGTTAATGTGAAATGCAGGGGAATGTCCTCCCGGGGAACTGGCTGGCAACTACCTGTCTCCTGTCTTTTATGTTTTGTCTTCTTGCTCTGTTTTTTTCATCCATTTCCCATCATCAGGACATGCGCTCCTTGATACGTGTGTATGGCTGTCTCAGAGACTCGATTTTTAAAAAAGAAATAAGGATTCCCTGATGGCTGGGAATTTCATTGTCCCTCTCTCCTGCTTTCCTGACTTGGAATTCCTGCCTGAAACCCGAAAGGATTCTTCTAGAAGGAGGAGGGGGATTCAGTCTCAGTCGAATGAGACTCTGTGCTCAGCAGATTGTCCCTAAGAGACCGTGAGGCGGGAACAGAACTTTTTTTTTAAGGTTTTATTTACATATTTTTAGAGAGAAGGCAAGGGAAGGAGAAAGAGAGGGAGAGAAACTCAATGTGTGGTTGCCTCTTGCACACCCACTACTGGGGACCAGGCCTGAAACCCAGGCATGTGCCCTGACTGGGAATCGAACCAGCAACCCTTTAGTTCACAGGGTCATGCTCAATCCACTGAGCTACACCACTCAGGGTGGGAACAGAGCTTTCAAGGATCCCTCAGGAGTTGCTCTCTTGTTGTGAGAGTAAAAACCAACCAACCCAAACCTGTGTTTCCTAAAGAGACTGCAAGGGGGAGTTTTTCCCATAAATCCCACGGACAGTAAAGGGCACGTGCATGGTGACATTCAGTGCATCGTTATGCATTGCAGTAGATGTTGCAAACTTGGGATGGTTCATCGTCCTCTCAGACAATCACAAGAATGATAAAGCAATCATGACGAAGTCTGCAAAAACAGCCATGATGCCTCAAGTGGTCGAGGAGACTGAAAATGCAATGAGGTTGTCATTACAGCTAGGTGTAAATGCCTTGCCGGAAGGAGCGTCCCACTTTGGGAAGGGCTGGTTTGTTGCTGGGGGCCTGTCAACGCATATAATAACTTGTGCCTCTGTGTGTGTGTAATGAGCGCGCGCGCGCATTATGGGCATGGTGTTTATGTAGAAAACAGTGGGAGCATGTTTTCAATAAAGTCCTGCTTCTCTGACTTTAAACAGTTCACACCATGCTGATCTCCCCCACATTTCTTCACGATTTGGAAACGTGTGTGTCAATAAAATTGCACCTTCTTTTACTGCCCTTCTTCCCTTTTCCCCCTTCTCCTTCCTTCTTCTTCCCGCCCTTTGAACATCGTTCCTTCAATCTCTCCTGCGAGTCTTTCTGCCTTTTGTGATTACTTACGACAATGTGCCCCAGGACTGCGCAGGCCCAGCCTGAGCTGCCCTCGTTTCTGTCGGGGACACGGCCCAGGCTTTCCAGAAGAACAGTGCTTTCTGTCCGCCTCCCTGCCGAGCACTCGCCACACATGTACATCTTTCTAAAACAAATCAGGTCACACCACTCACCTGTTTAAAACTCAGGGCTAGTCTGTCCGAGTCTTAGAATAACCCTCACACAGCCCTGGGGCAGTGGCTCTGGCCCACCTCTCAGGCTCCTGGCTTGCTCGGGCTCCCTCTGTCTCCAAACTGTGGCCCCACACACCCCCAGACTCCTCCCCACTGTATGCCAGGCCCTGTCCTGGCCTGCCCAAAACACGTTCTATTCAACTCAGGTGCTTTCCCCTTGACCCCTCTACCTGGAATGTTCTCTCTCCCAGACCCTAACTTACAAGTTCTTCCCATCCTTGGATTCCTGGCATTCACCTTGTTGTCTAAACTTCCCTACTCCAGCCTTCCCCTTCTCCTTTACCACCTTGGCCATAGCACCTGGGTGAACTTTGATCACCTCTTCTCCTACTATCTCCCTAGACTAGAATGAATGTTCCTTCATGAGGGCAAACCCTGGCCTGTCTTGTTCCCCACTTGACGGGGCCTGGGCGTCTTTCTGGTAGATAATTATTTAGCTCAGTTATTATTGTTTGTTGAATGAATAAACACAGCTCCATTCCTGCCATCAAAGGGTTCATAGCCTACGGGGAGAAACCACGCAGGCTGACACACTGCGTTACTGTAGGTTCTGTGGGCGTGGCTCTCCAGGTCCCAGACAATCCACCAGGAAGGCGGAAATGGCGTCAAAAGTGGATGAGCTGGGGATTCCTTTTGAGAACAAGTGAATTGTCAAGTTTAATGACTTTAATCTGGAATTTTGTTGTTTTATTTTACTTTTGTTTAACCCATAGGTAGAATGGCTTTCTTAGTTGTAGTGAGAACAAGGAACAGGAGAATTGACAAGGTAGACCACAGGGTTGAAGGACAGGGAAGGAGCTTCGCTTAGGGAATAAGTGGGACCAGCTGCTCAGGGCCCTCCTAACTCCCACTCCTCTCCTCTCTGATTTTCTTCACATTTTGTCTTTCTTGTTCGAAGTTGTTCTTACTGTGGGCTCACATTCAGGCAGCCCCTGCACTCACACCCGCCATGTGCTGTCAGCATGGTTGACCAGCCTCCCCCTTTCTTATGATCAGTCCTGGGGAAGCACTCCAGGGGTCCAGTTTGTGTCCCATGGCCCTCAGTGTAGTCCCACCAACTAAGGCCAAGCCTGAGATCTCGTAAGGACGAGGTGGCTTCCTCGGGAAGCCGGGAGCGGAAGTCCCGGGTGAAGAGTTGCTCTTCCCAGGAAAGGGGGACTGTGGCTGACAGGATGAGACAGTGATTAACATCACTTAAGTAAAAACGTCTCTACTGTGCTATTCTGAAAAACTCCATAGGCATCTCTGTAAGTGACCACACCACACAAAATCTCCTCTTCCAGGGTCCAAGAAGGCTGTAGGAGACTGGGAAAATGTGAGAGTTTTAGGTTCTCTGGCCTGAGAATGTACTTAGAGGAGAATTTTTGTCTGGCCCTGAGAACCTCGGTTGGGTGAGCTGGAGTGGGCCTGTTTCTCTGCCCCACGGAGCCCACGTCTTGGACGTTCCACCCAAACTCGTTCCCTGTGTGACCCATCCGCTCTCTGCTTACAGATTGTGCTTGAGAACAGCAGCCGGGAGGACAAGCACGAGTGCCCCTTTGGCCGCAGCAGCATAGAGCTGACCAAGATGCTGTGCGAGACCCTGAGAGTGGGCGAGCTGCGTAAGTACCCGTCCCCCTCACCCGCCCCAGGTGTGGCGCTGGGCAGCGGCCGAGTCCAGGGCTGTGCCCGACCTGCACCGCCGGCTCCCAGAGCGCTGACCGCCGCTCCCCAACACTAGGTGGCCCAGGATTGCAGTGCATGTATTTCTGCACGTCTGCTCTGAGAAGAGATGTCATTAAAATCTACGAGAATAGGAAAATGGACAGGCACTGTGACTGAACTTCAAGTCTTATAACAGTGAGTCTGTATTCAAACAGCCTTGCATTTATTTAATACTTGGTTAGGAAAATAGCCTACGAATTTCTTTTCCAGATGCCTGCTTTTTCACCTACCAGTAGATCATTTTCCTTTCTTTCTTCTGAAACCATTTTGTCTCCATTACATCATAGTAAAATGCCTTAATGAAATCTCTCCCAGTATTGCACTGGTTTAAAAAAGTGCTTTCTCTAAGAAAGAAGGAATTGTTGAAGTAAATGGAGAGCTGACCAGGAGCAATGTGCTCTTGGAGATATGCTTATCACTCTTTTTCTTCCTTTTATTACTAATTTTGGAGAAGACACCCAGAAAAAGAGGGCATAGTAATGCTCTTGCCTTTCGCCCATTGGCATAATTTGGCTGTAACCTGTCAAAGCGAGTCGGGTGGGAGCTGCCCAGCAGGCTGCCTTCCAGTCCCTCCAACGTCGGTGGAGCCGACACACACAGGAAATCTTTCCCTGTGGGCTCTTCCGCGTGGGCGCCAGAGAACACTGTTTATACCAGAGGAATGTTGGGTGTTGGGAATTACTGTGGAAGCATAAATATTCAGTCACCTGCTTGAGAGCTTAAAATAATGGTTTGAAATGATGAATGGGAAGAAATCCAACGATGGAAAAGGGGGTAATGTTTTATTTACAGTGTAGAACTGACTGCAGTACAGCTAAGGTAAATGAGAAAATTCAGAACTTAGGAAAAAATGAACAAGTTGAGCCTGTTTGTTAATAGGCACAGCAGACGTTACCCTCTTCCAATATTGCAGGGAAAGAAGCTGAAGTTCAGTACTAAGGAGCCCACATCCGCGTGTTTTACGTGGGCAGCCTAGCAAGCTGCCCTGGGAGGTTTCTGTGTCCATCTCCTTGGGTCTTGCTGATGCTCACATCTCAGTTAACCTGGAGCCTGGGTCCTCCGCCTTATTACACCTCCTGGTTGAGATTTATGTCTGCTGTTTGGCTTACCGTGTGTTCAGTGAAAGGATGAAGGTTCTGACTCAAACCAATTCCACTGGTTTTTTTAGTCGGATAACTTGTCTATTTCACATCAATCTCAGTTTCTTGGGGAAAACTGTAGAAAGTCACTGGCTGACAAGTACTGCCAACCATCTAAGATCTCCAGAAACCAGAGACCCGTCATGCTCCACATGGCTGGCACATCTCAGGTCCCGGTCATAGCCCAAGTGGTCCTTTCCTTGCCCTGCCCTCATCCCATCCTTCCAAGGGCCTGCTCGGGCTCGCAGTGCTCACCCTGGTGGCAGCAGAAGAGACCCTCTGTTTTGCTTTGACTGCTGTCTCCAGCTTCCTGCTCTTCCCTGTCCAACAGTCATGTGTCTCTAATGTTCCAAGTTAACACAGAGATATGGTGGAGGACAGGGAGGATGTTGGGAAGAAAGGGCATCTAGGTTCTCTCTCTGCCACATCTTTACGTCCTTGGTAACATACAACTTCACTGTGCTCCTACCGCCCCACCTTTTATACTACCATACAGTGTATTTACTATGCTTTATAAAATGTAGTGTCATGCTGCCAGCTGCAGCCTCATGCATCGTATTTACTGAGTCTCTTGATTGCATCATTTCCTCTGGTGCTTGATTTACTCCACATTGTGCTGTGCAGCAACATCCTGTAGGGGCGTGTAGCCTGGGAGCAATAGGCTGTACAGTGTAGCCGAGGTGTGCAGTAGGCTAGACCATCTAGGCTTGTGTAAGTGAACTCTGATGTACTCAGTGAGAAAATTGTCTAATGACATGTTTCTCAAAATGTCTCTCCATCTTTATAAGCAGAGCAGGGCTGTGCTTGTGTTCATTTTGGCCTGATCATAGGTAACTTCAGTGGCTAAAATTGCAGTCGTGGGAGTTAAAGAGGTACCTGGGAAACAGATAATATTCACCCCAAGGGCACCGACTTGGAAAAGATGGTCACATTCCAGGCAGTGTGAGAACAGAGTGCATGTGGATCAGGGGAGCCCCACCTGGTGGGGGGTGGGGGCAGCTTCTGAGCAGACAGTGTCGCTCAGGGTAATGTAGGCTCCATAGTTTAGAAGTTGGGGGTTGGGGTGTAGAGCAACCCTCCTGGCCTTCCAAGAACCTGGCAGTCAAGCCAGCTCATGTGAGCTGAGATGGCTGAGTGGGGATGAAGGCAGAGGCCTGGGAATCTCTGGAGGTGCCCCAAGTGTAAGAGCCCTGGAAGCTCTTTCACACCCTGCCTTCTACTGGAAGGGTGACTGTCAACATTCTGCCCTAGTCGCTCAGCCCCCGGCCAAGCCTGGTCTCTGTGGTGAGGCTGAGCTTGGACAATCGGGGCCTGACACATTCGTGGCATGGGCCCTTCACCCAAGATGACAAATGCACTTATTCATGCATTCCATAACAATCTATTGATTACTTAGAGTGTGCCAGGGACTGTGAGAGACCTAAAGGCATAAAGGGGAATGAGATATGGACCCTGTGCCCCAGAAATTTTCACTTCAGAAAGTGTATGAACAAGTTGGGACTGATAATTTTTCCTGTTAGTTGTAAGTCACTTTATATGTATATATGTACACATATATATGCTTGTATATATATATGTACGTATAAATAAATATGTGTGTACGCATGTGCATACATATGTATTTAAATGCCTGTTACCAGTTCTAAAGCCTAATTTCACAGTGTTTAAGTTTTGATAGTTTAAGTTTTCAGGTTGACCTGTTGCTTGGTGCCTATTGCAAAAGCCGTTCTGGAAATCTTGCAAGGCTAACAAAAGACTCCTATGTTTCCAGAGCCAACGTGCCCACATGAGTTGTTTTCTGCTCATAAAATATTAAAGGACTACTCCACTCCAATTGAGTATTAGATGTCAGATGATGAAACACCTTGTGGTAAGAGGGAAATTGCTTTTTAATGGATTGCCTCGTGCCCACTGCCATATTAAATAAGTCACTAACATAAAGGCCGAATCTGAGCACACCCTTATGTTGCAGGGGATGTCTATTTTTCTTCTGGGAAAATTAGTTTTGCAAGCAAATCCATCATCTTTTGGTTTGCTTGTGTCTGCTTTTCTCCTTTTCTAAGTTCATGGTCCTTCTCAGGTTTGTGACAGTAACAGACTCAGGAGATCATAACCATGTCAGATCAGTAAGCAAGTGCTGAGACCAAAGACACACCCACCCAAAAATCTAAAGGACATATGCAAAAGTGGAACAATTCAGTTTTCTGGAAATGTTTTGTCTTTTGGTTTAAACCTAAGGTCTTATGAGGAAACTCACTTCTGAATTACCAAGTACATTGTGGGGTCTAAAGCAAACATTTAATGTTCAATTAAACAACTGATACCAAGTGTTTATGTGCAGGTTTTTTTAGATTACTTTTTAAAAGTACTTGTGTTATGGTTTCCAGTTATTGACATTGCAAGAGGCCAGTGTGTGATGGTGTGCTATAAAAACAATGCCTATTTACTTTCTCAGAGCACTGCATCAGAGTTATTTAACTGAAGCCCATAATACCCACAGGAGTTAATTAAGATCAATGGCATCTCTGTTTAATGATGAAGAGAACACTTGCACTTACTGCATATTGTCCAGCGTCCCTGAGACCCACTTGGTGTTCAGGAGGCCCAAAGAACAGCGTAGGAAGAGGAGGGCAAGGCCGGCGGTTGCATCTGGGAACCTGGGTGACCATCGTTAAGTCACAGCTAAGCCGCACATTGGATGACTTGCTGTGCGCTTCTTCTCAGTTCTGCGCTTCGGGTTCCTTACCTGCAAAATAAGCTGAGTCCTTGATGCAGATAGTTGTTGGAAGGATGTGGATGTTGCTTTAGTTGGAAGATGGACACTTCTGCAAGAGAGACTCTCACGTTCCATAAACAAACCCCAGGTTAAGCTAGGGAGGTGTAGAGTGCTCCAGCATCAATGACAGCTGGAACCAGGACCTGGAACAATGTCCCTTGTTTCTTCGCTCTCTGCATCCTGACTAAAATGATTCTTTTTTCATCTGCTTCCTTCAGGAGGTTCTTTTGAGAGCAAGGCACTTATTTTCCTTTGGTGTTGGTTTTAAAAATTATAAAGAGGACTGTTTGTGGACCTAGGTATGGTCACAGATCCCCATGACCTGAGTTGTATAATTGGCAGCCCCACTTAGAAGGAGAAGATTAAAAGCAAGGGAAGAGCAAGTCTTCAGAAGAAGAGGCATACTTGTATGCAGGGGGTGGGGTCAGGGACGGGGAGGTGGTATAGCGTAGACAAACCCGTAGATGGTCCGCGTGGATGTGGAGTCCTTCTGAAGATGCAGCCCGGGGCTAACAACCAGTACTTGTCATTTTTGTGATTATAGTACTGTCCTCAAAGCAGTCAGTTGTTGAGGGATACAAGGAAAATTGGGTTTCTGTTACAAATAGGGCAATTACTTATCTTTTGAATATGTAGCATCTAGCCTAGTTATATTCCAAAGTTAGGTAGAGCTAGGGTAAAGAACATTTTTTCTTGTCTCTCATTCATTCATTCATTGACCCACTCAATAACTGTAGGGTTCTTTCTCTATAAGTCACGGTGACATGGACTTAGAACACACCCTTCCATCCTCACGCAGCTCACATGCTCACTTGAGAGTCCTTCACATGAAAACATTTTGCATCTGTAGCATTTCATTCAAGTTATATTAGTGTCGTTAGGAGATGGTGTTTGGTCCTTTTCCTCCATGGGGAGCTGGGCAGGCTGAGGAAGGGAGAATCTTGGCAGATGTGACACAGAATCATGAAGACGAGAAAAGGAC